ACCCAGTTTGGGGTTTGCTTTGCCTTTTTTCACTTAACCTTATATGGGATTTTTTTCTTGCAAGTTTAATTTTTATAATTTTATTGGCTTCATAATGTACTGAATTCATCTATCATAACCACCTCCATATTACTAGACGGGGAAGTTCATAATTTTTTTCAGTATTACCAATAGGTATTATTGTCAATTGAAGTATCACATTTTCTTTCGTTTAGATTACGTCTTTAGGATAAATATCTGGAGCTCAGATTACTAGGTCAAAGGGTAGAGTTTATTTTTACGACTACAAGTTTTGTCATTTTTGGTAAGATATATCACAATTGACAGTGAGGCAAACAAATCAATTAGCCCCCTCCTGCTGTTTCTTCCCAGCAAACTCCTTCCGCAAACTAGTTACTTGAATTTGAGAAACAGTATCAGGTTTTGCCTTTTGGGGACATTATTATTTGAGCCAAGTTTAGGTTATACAGATTTAAAAAAAAAACATGATTTGGCAAGATCGTGATGAACCTCCTTTTCTTTGAGTAAATTCAAGTACTATTGGCAAATAATAAACTGGTCTTGGAGGGATGGAAGGCGGAAAAACCTTAATGGAGGTAGAAGTGATCTGATGCTGGAGACCCTGAGAGCTTGTCTCTGGCTTATTTTAGTATCCGGGAAAGCCTTGAATATTATGATAGATTGTAGCCCGATGTCACAGAGCCTTCTTACTTAAGTTTGGCTCAGCAGCCTGGCAATTCCCGCCTCAGTCTTCGCTATCCTGGCTACTGCAAAGCTGGGTAATTTAAACTGAGTGGCACTGATGAGTGTTAAAAGAACTTAGCAAAGCTTAAATATGTTTCCTTTCTGCTGGTCTACGGACCTGGAGAATGAGACTTCCAGTTTCTAAGGAATTTGCTGCATAGGCTCTATCGCCAGTTTCAAAAGTCAAACCGAGAAGACGCTCTCCTTCAAACAAACACTAGGGATTTGCTGGAGTAGCCCTAGCCTTCCTTTGCCGCCGCGTACCTGGAGCCTGTGTTTTTTGGTTTTTTTTTTTCGGAGACTTCCATTGGATGCTGAAGTTCTCGCCCCCTCACCTCGCGCCGGGATTGGTTGATTCCTGGCCTTGGCGGGTGATTGGTCGAGCTCGCTGGGCTATTGGGCGCTGGGAGTCGAGGGGGCGGGAGGCGGGAATTCGTCTCGGGCTGTGTGGTTGAGGGGTCTGGTGAGTGCTGGGGTCGAGGAAAGGTACGGCGGCCGCAATCTTGCACTCCAGGCCGGGGAAGTAGCAGCCCCGCCAGGAAGAGGGAGTAGGAAGGGCGCGTGCCCTTCCTTCTCTTCCAGGGCTCGGCTTTATTTTCTCTCAGAAATCAGTTTCCTTTTCTTCAGTGAATCGGAGCTCAGAGCGTTGCTTCGGTTTCCCTCCAGACAGGCAAGTCGGAGGGAAGTCAACGGGAAGGGCTTGAGTACTTCTGCACCGCCTGCGGGCCCATCGGTGGTGACTGGATCATCAGGGCCTCGGGGATCTCTACTGGCTGGGGGAGGAGGGAGATACAGGGCAGAAAACCTGAGGAGGGAGCCAGCCTATCCTTACCTCCTTTGAGCGCAGGCCTGTTCTTAGCCCGGGGCGTTGCGTTGCTTCTTGGCGGGAGGCAGAGGAGTGTGTTTATCCTTTATGCAGTATTTGGGGGAGGCTACCCCATTTTGACACTATTGTTGCCACAGCCGGGGTACAGGGCGGGCTGATTTCTGGATTTTATCTGAGTAACTAGGCCAGCGTTGAGTTGTTGAGTCATATTAAGAGGTTAGATTCCACCACACCTCCTTCTCAGAGCTTTACAGATAGGATCGCAAAATGTTAGAGCTGGAAGATACCCTAGAATAATGAATGGTTCTTCACTTCTTTTGGAACACACAAGCGGTGGTGAATGTTATTATTGGCTTCATCATCTATTGAATTGCTATTTTAACTATCTCTTCGTCCCCAGATTGAATTTACAATTTTTTCCCACGACTGCAGATAATTCCTTATTTAATAACAATGCATGTAATTTCCCCCGCTATTTTGATTTCCTTGAGATATATTTAGGGGAAGAGAAATCTATGGGCTTTTTCTTCAGAAAAATGCAATCATGTACAGAAACTTATGCCTGCAATTTCAAGAGGTCATTGTCTCTGAATTACATCCGTGGATCCTAGGTTAAGAGAAGTGGTTTAGAAGAGGTGAGGATTAAAGTGATCACCTCATCTGTGTCAGATCCTGGGTTAGGTATATTCTGCCCTGGCTAATTTTCATAAAAACCCTGTCAGGTAAGTAGTATTACTTCAATTCCATATATGGAGAAAAAAGCTCTGAGAAATGATTCACACAGTGGAATTCAAACTTAGGACTGCCTTACTCCAAAGCCCATCCTCTTTCTATAATACTCTACTGACCTTTAAATAAAATTTTTGAGTGCCTACTATGTGCCAAGGCATTCTCTTTCTTACAACAGCCTTTAAGTTAAATTAGGGGTTATCACAGGTAAGGATCTTAGAGAAGTAAAAAGATATGTCAAAGATGACATACGTGAGTCCCTGTCAAAACCTGGTATAGAACCTATGCTTCCTGACTTCTGGTCCACAGCTTTTTTCTTCTAACTGGAGGACTGCAGAAAGGGGTAACACAAAGGGGAAGAACAGGAGAAAGAGTGGTGCTGTGGAGTTGTAGAGAGACACCTCAGGAACTTATTTGTTTCTGTAGGTTGATTGCATCTGATCTAACTGTTACAAGAGCTCATGTTTAATCTGGTATGTACTGTATCATATTTGCACATTATTTCACTTAATCATTACCACAATCCTATGGGGTACATGCAGTCACTGTGGCTTAGAGAAGGTAACTAACTTTCCCAAAGTCACACAACTAATACCTGGCAGAGCGAGGGATACAAATCCAGATTTGTTAGACTCTAAGACATGCTCTTGACCACTGTGATTTATAAGACTAGGAAATTCTTTTGTTTCCATTTGTTTTGTTTCTACTTTTATTAATTCCAGTTTTTATTTCCAGATTTCTCTCTCAGTTTTGGTTCTCTGGTTTTCTTTGAAAGGCGTGTCTCAACATTTGCCATTTTCATTTCTATTGCAGTTAGGAATCTGAAATAAACAGGAAAGCACTATGTCTTCGATGTGGTCTGAATATACAATCGGTGGGGTGAAGATTTACTTTCCTTATAAAGCTTACCCATCACAGCTTGCTATGATGAATTCTGTAAGTATTTTTCAGCAGTTAAGTTTTTATTAAGATATAGATACTTAGGACCCATAAAGTACATTGAGTATGTGACTGCATTCATATTCTCAGTAAATGAAGAATATTTTTCTTTTTTTTTTTTTTTTTTTTGAGACGGAGTTTCGCTGTTTTTGCCCAGGCTGGAGTGCAATGGTGCGATCTCCGCTCACCGCAACCTCCGCTTCCCGGGTTCAAGCAATTCTCCTGCCTCAGCCTCCTGAGTAGCTGGGATTACAGGCATGTGCCACCATGCCTGGCTAATTTTGTATTTTTAGTAGAGACGGGGTTTCTCCATGTTGGTCAGGCTGGTCTTGAACTCCCAACCTCAGGTGATCTACCCGCCTCGGCCTCCCAAAGTGCTGGGATTACAGGCGTGAGCCACCACGCCCCGCCAATGGAGAATATTTTCTGGGTTCCATTGGAAGAACATGTAACCTCTAGGAAACCACTGATTGCTGCTAAACGGTATATATCCATGATTAAGGCAAAGAAGAACATGCTGAAAAATGTTCTCAGCTCATTTGGAATTTCTATACTTTTAGTGAAAAACTGCTTTCTACAGAGTATTTACTATCTTTTACACAGAATACTATTTTTCTCACCATTGTTTTGTTTGGATCATGTAGAAAATTAATATACAAATTTGAGTAAACCAGCTTTCCAGTTGTGTTAAATCTATTTTGCCATATGTACTTCATATCTGGTAGCAAGATTATTAGTATCCTGAATTTGTTCTTTTCCTTTCCTAGCCATGTTTTTATACTTTTATTACATATATATGTATCCATAAATAATATAGAATATTATTTTACATATTTTAAACTTTGTGCATTGATGTGATACTGTACCTTATCTTTCTGCAGAACTTGAGTTTTTTAACTTAGCATTAATTTTAATATATAGCCCTGTTGATTCTTAATCAATTTTAATTGCTGTATAAATTCCATTGGATGAATATACCAGAATTTATCTGTCCATTTTCTTATTGGTGGACATTTAGGTTGTTTACATTCTTTTGCAATTATAAGCAATGCTGCTGTGAACTTTCTTTTTTCTTTTTTTTTTTTTTTTGAGACAGGGTCTCACTCTCGCCCAGATTGGAGTGCAGTAGTGCCATCTTAGCTCACTGCAACCCCTGCCTCCCAGGCTCAAGCTATTCTCCTGCCTCAGCCTCCCGAGTAGCTGGGATTACAGGGATGCGCCACCACGCCCAGCTAATTTTTTTTTTTTTTTTTTTTTTTTTTTTTGAGACGGAGTCTTGCTCTGTCACCCAAGCTGGAGTGCAGTGGCGCGATCCTGGCTCACTGCAAGCTCCGCCTCCCGGGTTCACGCCATTCTCCTGCCCCAGCCTCCCGAGTAGCTGGGACTACAGGCGCCCGCCACCTCGCCCGGCTCATTTTTTGTATTTTTAGTAGAGACAGAGTTTCACTGTGGTCTCGATCTCCTGACCTTGTGATTCGCCTGCCTTGGCCTCCCAAAGTGCTGGTATTACAGGCGTGAGCCACCGCGCCCGGCCTAATTTTTGTATTTTTAGTAGAGACAGGTTTTCACCATGTTGGCCAGGCTGGTCTCGAACTCCTGACCTCAAATGATCCACCTGCCTTGGCCTCCCAAAGTGCTGGGATTACAAGCATGAGTCACCGTGCCTGGCTGCTGCTGTGAACTTTCTTACGCATTTCCTTGTGTTCATGTGGGAAAGGTTTTGGGTGTACACATAGAACTGAACTTGCTGGAGTTGGGCATCTTCACTTTATGAGAAATTGTTTATTTCTCTACCAAGTAGTTGCAACAATTTGTACTCTCACTAGCAGTATCCTTCATTGAGTTTTCATCAAAGATATTGATAGGTAGTAATGTATTCTGGTTTTACAGAAATCATTGGTGCTTGCATAATTCTGGCACAGATTGCTCTTTTCATTTCTTCTCTTGTGCTTGATATTTTGGTAAGTCCAAGATAATCTTAGGGAAAAGTGTAAAGGAATACAGTTTGGATTTAACTGAATACGAGTTCCTTCTGCTATCGTTGTGTTCCCTGGAGTGCAATCTCACTTCTTCTTGCTGTTCTTTATACTTCAGATGGAGAGAGACCTTTATAAAGTTAAAATGTTTATTAATCTTTTTCATTGGTTCCTGTGTTCATAGATTCTCAGAGGATTAAACAGTAAGCAACATTGTTTGTTGGAGAGTCCCACAGGAAGTGGAAAAAGCTTAGCCTTACTTTGTTCTGCTTTAGCATGGCAACAATCTCTTAGTGGTAAGTAGTTGCTTGATATCTTCAAGTTGCTCACTGGGACCTGAAAAAATATAATACAGTATTGTTTATCCAGACTGGTTCAGCCATGCTGTCGCTAACTTAAATACTCATTTAATGATGTTTCTTTAAAATAAGTTATATATCTTCCAAAAGAGTTTCAATATGTTTAATTAATGCTAAAATAGTATTGAACATAATTTCTTTTGATGAGTTGAAAAGTACATAAAGACTTTTGGCAGCCTGAGCAACATAGTGAGACCCCATCTCTACAAAAAATGACAATCAATTTTTGGTAGACTGAGGTGGTAGGATCGCTTGAGCCCAGGAGGTCGAGGTTGCAGAGAGCTGTGATTGTGCACTTCAGCCTGGGTGACAGAATAAGACCCTGTCTCAAAAAACAAACAAAGTTTTGGATGCTTAGAGTTATCATTATGAAAATAATTAGATGATAATTTGTATGTAAAAGATGCAAGAGATGGGCTGTCATGATGCTATAACACATAATAATTGCTTTTTTTTAGGGGGGAAATCCTTTAATATATTTGCTTATCTGTTCCTTTCTCATAACATTAGCACATGGGATATATAAAAAATAATGCATTCTAGTTGATTTTTCTACTTGTTTAAATGCCAGATAAACAGAACTTTAGTATAATATTGTTTGTATGAATCTATATTACTTCCCACTACTTTTCCTTTTTTTTTTTTTTTTTTTTTGAGTGGAGTCACCCAGGATGGAGCATAGTGATGTGATCATAGCTCACTGTAAACTCAAACTCCTGGGCTCAAATGATTCTCCTACTTCAGCCTCTTAAGTAGTTGGGATTACAAGCATGAGCCACCAGGCCAAGCTATTTTTACTTTGTTTGCTAACAAATGCCTATTAATATTTACTTTTATGAAAGACTATATAAACTACATAGTGAATCAGAAATATAATATTGGATAAATTTTAGTTACATTAGATGGCTTTAACCTAAAGTATTAGGAGAATTTGAGGTTAAACATGGTATGTGTATATATGTATGTATGTGTATATAGGTGTATATATATACATTTTTAAATGAAATGTTTGTTACTAATAAAAATATATTAAGGCCGGGCACAGTGGCTCACCCCTGTAATCCCAGCACTTTGGGAGGCCAAGGCGGGTGGATCACCTGAGGTTTGGCGTTTGAGACCAGCCTGACCAACGTGGAGAAACCCCGTCTCTACTAAAAATACAAAATTAGCTGTGCGAGGTGGTGTGTGCCTGTAATCCCAGCTACTCGAGAGGCTGAGGCAGGAGAATTGCTTGAACCCAGGAGGTGGAGGTCGCAGTGAGCCAAGATTGCGCCGTTGCACTTCAGCCTGGGCAACAGGAGCGAAACTGTTTCAAAAAAAAAAAGTAAATATTTCATAAGCTTTTTGTTGTTCATTTTGATTCTTACTGATGCTAATTTTGGAAAAAATGAGTTTATCAGTACTAACATCAGGTCTTAATGGCAGATGTCTGGAAAATAGAATTAGAAATATTTATGTGGTACAAATGGGAAAACAATGTCAATACTAATTATTTTAAAAAATAAATTATTTAGCTTTTTTGGGGGTATATGAATTGTACATTTGGATACAAGGTAGGCACACAATGTAAACTTACTACAATTTGGTATTATATTTAGGCACTAAAGTTACCTATTTTATTGATTTGAATATTGACCTTAAAATGTATTTTGATGCAAGTATCAGAATTAATACATCAAAAAACATGTTTCTGGCTGGACGCAGTGGCTCACGCCTGTAATCCCAGCACTTTGGGAGGCCGAGGTGGGCGGATCACAAGGTCAGGAGATTGAGACCATTTGGGCTAACAGGTGAAACCCCGTCTCTACTAAAAATACAAAAATTAGCCGGGCATGGCGGTGTGTTCCTGTAGTCCCAGCTGCTGGGGAGGCTGAGGCAGGAGAATGGCGTGAACCCGGGAGGTGGAGCTTGCAGTGAGCCCAGATTGCACCACTGCATTCCAGCCTGGGTGACAGAGCGAGACTCCATCTCAAAAAAAAAAAAAAAAAAAAATTTGTATTTGAAATAGAAGTATAATGTGGGGAATGATTTAATCCTTATGTGTTAGATTATTATTTCATATATTGAACTTTCAAATTCTTCATTTAGGGAAAATTAAGAATATACTTTAGGTCCTTGTTTCAATCCATTCTTGAATTTTAGATGAATCTTAATGAATACTTGAGTAGTTGTACTTTTATTACATTATTAATCTTAGATTATTAGATTTGTACAGATTACATAAATTGGTGATAATTTCCCTATAAATGTTTTTGTTTTTCTTTTTGAAGCAGAGTCTCGCTCTGTTGCCTATGCCGGAGTGCAGTGGCGCAATCTCAGCTCATTGCTACCTCTGCCTCCTGGGTTCAAGCGATTCTCCTGCCTCAGCCTCCTGAGTAGCTGGTATTACAGGCGTGCACCACGGTGCCTGGCTAATTTTTGTATTTTTAGTAGAGACAGGGTTTTACCATACTGACCAGACTTGTCTTGAACTCCTGACCTCAACCTCCCAAAGTGTCTTGAACTCCTGCCTCAGCCTTCCAAAGTGCTAGCATAACAGGCATGAGCCAGTGTGTCCAACCAAACGTTTTTGGCATATTTGTCTCTTGTCCTAATTTGATGCTGCAGATAAAGTGACCAGCTTGTCCAGGTTTGCCACATACCTTCCTGGTGTCAGCCCTAAAAATCTTGTATCTTAGAAAATCTCCCAATCTTGGGTGAACTGGGCTGGTTACTTACCCTAGCTGCAGATAATGATTAATGTTTATTTAATTAGATATATTATAAATAGAGGTTCTTTCATTTTTAGAGAAGCCAGCAGATGAGGGCATAAGTGGGAAAACTGAAGTACCATTGTCATGTTGTTGTACATGCCATTCAAAGGATTTTACAAACAATGACATGAATCAAGGAACTTCACATCATTTCAACTATCCAAGCACACCACCTTCTGAAAGAAAAAGCACTTCATTAACTTGTCAAGGTAATTTATATTTTGTCTGGGTCAGTTGATATCTGTAATAAGATTCTTAATTATTACCGTTATAAGCCCTAATTTATATAAGTTTGGTTAGCGTAACTGATTATATATCTCTAGTTTCTCTGGAATTATTTTAAAATAACACAGAGTGGTCAAAAATCCTTAGATGTTTTTAAATTCTTGGTTTGACTTTTAATTTATTGAGACATTTTGTTGGCCTAAATAATTTTTTAATGAAGGCAATGCAAAATAAATGATTTTCCAAAATTGATGTTATTTGTAGCCAGTATTGTTTTTTGTTTTTGTTTTTTTTTTGAGACGGAGTCTCGCTCTGTCGCCCAGGCTGGAGTGCAGTGGCACAATCTCAGCTCACTGCAAGCTCCGCTCCGCCTCCCGGGTTCACGCCATTCTCGTGCCTCAGCTTCCCAAGTAGCTGGGACTACAGGCGCACGCCACCACGCCCGGCTAATTTTTTTTGTAATTTTAGTAGAGATGGGGTTTCACCATGTTAGCCAGGATGGTCTCGAACTCCTGACCTCGTGATCCACCCGCCTCGGCCTCCCAAAGTGCTGGGATTACAGACGTGAGCCACCGCGCCCGGCCGTAGCCAGTATTGTTAATTGTATGTTAGAATTCTATAAAACAATGTTTGTATCCTAAGACAAAATCTAATTAGCCTCATTGATCCATTCTTGACAAGTTTGCCTGGCATTCTGAGACCAGTATCCTACATGAGAATCAGGTATGTTTATGTGTGACCTTTAAATAATTTTTACTAATTTTAGAGAAATATATTAAGAGTAACATAAAATTATTAATAATACATTTAAAAAATATTTCTCCTGCTTTTGACTATATAGAAAGGATAGACTATTATTTACCTAAGAAACCTAGGGAACATCCTGGAAACTTTGCCCTTTCTTATTTCTTCATGCACATCTCTGTATCCATTGGTACCTCCATAGTCCAAACTACCATTTCTTGTTTACACATCCAATAACCCTTTTTTTCTGCTTTTACTCATGCTATTTCTTTACTAGTCACTGGCAGGGAGACACAGGTTGCCATGATTGACTTAAGTCAAAACAAACAGTATCCATTTCCTAAAATCAAGGATGGAGTCACCTTCCTCTAAAGCACATAACCATACAAAGGATGGTAGATAATTAAACTTCCGGTGGGAAGGAGGAAAGAGGAGTGGAATACTTGTTAAATAGGTGACCAATAGTGTTGTCTGCATTGTTTTGATTTTGGCCTTTTGGATTTCTTTCCTTTCCTTCAAAGATTTATGCTTTCTCTTTCCTCAGAGCCTTTGCTTCTATTACTGTCTTTTCTGAGCAAAGTTCCAACTTCAACTTATCCTTTTCTTCCTCAGTTTACATGTGACTTTCTTGGGGTATCCATCACTGATTTTTCTGTCAGAGTAGATTTGATTTCCCTATTATAGTCTGTCTTCTCATTGTGTACCTTTCCTTTATAGCACTTGTTACAGTTTGTATTATATGTGTCTATCTAAATCTTTTATTAATCTCTGCTTCCTTGGCAGACTGTATACTTCATGAGGTTTGGAATATTGTCAATTTGCTTACCATTGTATCCCTAGAACTCTAGCAGGGTGCCTGGCATATGGTAGGTGCTAGATAAATATTTGTTGTTAGGAATGACTGGGATTAATTTTCAGCTAATTATAGGAATTCTCGTGTATAATATTTATATACAACATTTTAAAAACAACTTTATTGAGGTTTACTTGACATAACAAATTGCATATATTTAAATGGTACACTTTTTTTTTTTTTTGAGACAGAATCTTGCTGTGTTGCCCAGGCTGGAGCGCAGTGGTGTGACCTCGGCTCACTGCAACCTTCACTTCCTGGGTTCGAGCAATTCTCCTGTCTCAGCCTCTCAAGTAATTGGGATTACAGGCGCCTGCCACCACACCCAGCTAATTTTTTGTATTTTTAGTAGGGACAGGGTTTTATCATGTTGGCCAGGCTGGTCTCGAACTCCTGACCTCA